CAAATTTGATTCTAAATCCTTATAACCTTTTTCCCTGTAAAAGTCTTTTTTTTCCTTGAGGTTTTACTCTAAAATTACACTCTTAACCAACTTCTTTAATGAAGTTAATGTGCACTATAATATTTCTATTTCTTGAAGTGTGAGAAATACATGACTAATGGAGTCGGTCTTGAACTTACCAACTTCCTAGAACAAAGCCAGCTTTCTCGTACATCTCTGTATAAAAATGTAATTTTAAAATGTAGGGACTATCTCTAAGTGTGAAAGCATAATATTTTCTTATTTAAACAATATTTCTGTTAGCCTTTTGAATCACAAATATATGAACATTCTTATAATGTGCATGAAGTTATAAGATAAGGCAGGGGCTACCCGAGATTAAGTGGGGAAGCGAACGTCTTATGCTTCTGAACAGTAGTGGGAAAGACTCTCTGGCATATCTTTCTTGGAGAAATCACTTTTGTAACTCTCTGAAGGAAGCGCTGGGGACCAGACCTCTGGTGGATGCGGTCAGAGATAAAGGAAAAGGGAAGGAAAGGTCTTGTCTTGACTGTCAGCTGTTTTAAAGCATCACTACTTGAGACATTTATAAATTTAACTGGATGTAAAACACGGGAGTATATAATGGGGGAAGAGTGCTGCACAAATAGGCAATGAATCAGGTGACAGAACAGCCTTTTTCCTGCCTCTTGTTTCTTTTACAGTTTTACTTCCTTAGAAAAAAAATCTATGATTGTTTAATTTTCTTCCTGTTTCGTTGTGAATACTTTGCAGCTGTTTGTATTGTTGGTGGTCTTTTTGGTGTGTGTGAGTTTTTAAAAATAAAATAGCCAGAATTTTGAAAGGTCATTCTTTTAAGAGCAATCGATTGGTTCAGAGTACAGAAGGGAAACATATGAAAGGTGTAAACGAAAGCTTGCTAGAATCACGGAATGGGCAGAATGATTTTGTCACTTGGTTTTGAGTTGCATGTTCAGAATAGTGTGTATCTACTGCTCTGGCAACTGTTAAACAGGGCTCCCTGAGGCAGTAAGATCATTTAGGATGTACTTGGTTGAAATGGAGGTTCTAAACATTGAAGACACTGTCTCTCAGGCCATTCATAGTGAGGTGCTGTTCGGCCTTGCTGAAGTGTATGAAGGAAGTAGGAGGCCAGAATTCCCCTCTGAGAGCACTTACCTTTAAAAACAATCTAAAATTATTACCTTCAACTATACAGAAGGGTAATTAAAGGTGCACATAAACCTCTCCATGATCATATTGTAGTAATAGGGAAGTTATTATACAGGTATTGCAACACAATTATTTTTTTTATAAATGTTATATGGCCATCCTAATAATCCCATATTTGCAAGAGATGTTTTTCCCCTTTCTATACTGATAAACTTTAAGTTGTCAAAGTTAAATCTACCATTTTTCCTACTTGGAGAGTTTCTCTAAAACTGCATGCCTCCTTTCAACTTCAGAAAATGAAATTCATTGATTAGATGAGCCCAGTTGTTTACAGTTCAAAGGCAGCATTGATGTTTCTGAAGCACTTCACTGAGGACTTGCTATCTTAGTCTGTAACCGCGAGCTCTCTAGCTGGCAGAGTCTTTGGTCTGGGAAATTACTGCCAGCCCTTGTCATCCATGCAGCTTTGGATGGTTAAACCAGGTGGGAATAGTGGAAACTACAGTGCATGTGTAGGTGAAGAAAATAATCTTTTTTTCCTTTAAACACCTTGATCTGCATTTTTAAAAAATTTATTTTATTGTTGAGAATATTACAGATTTTAAAAACCATACTGTCCACAGTGCAATTCTTGAGACAGAGGACAGAGGTCCCGATGACCTGACTGCCCACGAGAGGTGTGGGGTACCGGTGCATGTTGTGCAGCCAGAATACGATAGCTCATTATGAAGACTGATGGGTATGCAAGAAGTGTCTCCAGGTCCTGAACAAAGGCAATGTCACGCTTGATAAAGGAGCAGTTGCTAAAGGCTTTTCTTGCTCAAATGTGCCTTATTGATAAGTTCAAAAGCATATTTTGCCCTAGATGAGGGTAGCTTGCTTAGACATGGCATTCGAAGTCCCCACATGCTAGGGTAATTCCTTGGTAGCAACCTCACACATGTAAAGTGGAGAATTCAGCAATTTGGCTTTTGTGGTCAAATGGTATACTTTCAGACAAAAATAAATGAAGGTGGATTTTTAGAGGTGGCTTAAGTTTTTTTCAGTTTATATTAATCATCTATTACTGCATACAATTATCTAAAGATTTTGTAGTATAAAGCAACAAACACTATCTCAGAGTTTCTGAGATTCAGGATTCGCTCGGGTTCAGGCTCTCTCACAGGCTGAGGTGTTGGTCAGGGTGCAGTCTTCCAAGGGCCTGCTTCTAAGGTAACTCATGGCTGTTGGCTGGCGAGGGCTGGCTACTGGCTAGAGACCTGCTTCTTGCCACGTGAGCCTCTCCACTGGCAGTGGTCTTCCCTCAGAATGAGCAAGAGGAGATGCAGAAGGGGTGGTCAGGACAGAAGCCACCAGGTGGTCTCCGGATACTCTGACTGTCTGCTCACTGGCGGTGAGTCACTAGCTCCAGCCCACGCTCAAGAGCAGGGATTACTCACCAGTGTTGCAACCAGGAGGAGACTATTACTGGGGGGCCATTTAGAGGCTGCTACCACTGTGGGTCATTCCTGGCCTCCTACGATTCTGGACTTTGCTATAAATAAATGCTAACTAAAGGTTATGATGTGAGAAACCAAGAGTAGACTCCTTTCTCCCTCCTTCAAAGTTAATCACCAGAAATTTCCTCAGTATACACATTTCTATCACGCACACTATAAAACCTTATAAAACTATAACAGCAAAATGCATACAGAGTGTTTGTCACNAACTATAACAGCAAAATGCATACAGAATGTTTGTCAGCCTGTGGAAGGAAGGCATTGGCTCATCGAGCCCTTGGCAGTTAACTGGTAGATAGGTCAGGGTGTGTCGCAGTGGTGAGGCTTCAAGGCTTCCTGATATCTGCTCAGACTCAGAACTAGATTCCTAGGCTCAAACTTCAGCCTGCTCCTTAGCGGTACTTTCTCCTCATGCCTGCTTTTTTGTATGCAAAAAGGGAATAAAATAGTATCCGTACAGGGAGGACAGTGATAGTAGAGTTAATATCTGTGAAGTGCACAGATCAGGGCTTGACATGTAGTGAGCACTTTGTTGTAAGTCATTACTAATTCAAGTCCACAGCAGATGAATTGCACTATGAATGCCATTCAGTGTAATGCAGTTATGCAAGTAAGTTCTACATTTTTCTTTACCCAGAAATACACAGAATTAGGTAATTTTGCTGCACAATACAAATCATCATTGAAAATCACCCTAAGGCTAGAAACAAAGAAATATTCCAGTTGATTAAATGTTTATTTTGGGCACAATGTCAATTGTGATGTTTCTAAGCTCCCAAGAATTCTGTACACCTGAATACCCTAATTTCCTTTTTAGATGCCCTCACACCCTTTTTATTTCATTTTATTCATTTATTCACTGTTCATTCCTTTCGTGGGCATGAGCACCTCCTGGGCCCTGGACACAACAGACATGGTCACAGATGTAAACAGATGCGTGTGTCACTGAATGAGAGGTGCTCTGAACGAGGCACCAAAGAGGGAAATGCACTTCTGTTTGGGGGAGGTCATGGACCTGGACAACTTCCTGTAAGAGGAAACGTGAGCTGTGTGGGACTATGCCTGATAGGAAGGACAGGAAGATGTTCTAGTCAGAGTGCGGGGGGAGATGGTGCCTGCAAGGCCTAAAGGCAGGAAGCAGCAGAGCAGATGGAAAATGCTGGCTGCTGAGTTGGGCAGCAGTGCCGGGAATAGCGTGTGCATTGGTCGGAATGAAGCTGCAGGCCTAGGCAGGACGCAGGTCTGTGACCCTGACCCAGGAGTCAGCACTCTCACTTAATTCACATCTCAGAGTGAAAACCACCATCCTCTGATCCCTTGAGAGACCCACATGATCTGGCCCAGTCCAGGACTCCGCCTCACGTGCTCTCCCACGGGGCGGCTTTGTCAGCTTGCTCACCTACCTCGCTCTCGGCTCAAGTCGCACTTCTCGCTGAGGTCCACCTTCGTGTCCCTAATGGATGCCGCCCCCGGCCTTCCTCACCCCGTCACCTCTGGTCCCCCTTTCCCTGCTGGCTTCTTGTTTACACAGTGCTCATTTTCCATATACCTGTAAATGATCTCTTATTGTTCATCATACATCGCCCCCAAAATGTAGGCTCCCAGAGGCAGGAAGGGATCTTTGTTGGTCCTAGCACATGGGCGTGCTCAATAAATATTTATGGACTGGATGAAAAACCAAATGTCTTTGGATTGTTTTTAGGGAACTTCAACTCTGGATGAGAAATGAGGAGCAGAAGTGGGGGTGGGGTTAGAAAGACAATTCAGACATCCATTCTTGTTCTTTTGTATTGTCTCATTTATGTATTTTCCTGTCAGTCTAATCAACAGTGTGAAAGTCAATAATGGCATAAAAAGCTACAAGTATGTGCATGACCACCTTGGGATGAAAAATCCCTTTTTGTTGATTTCTTCCTCNTACAAGTATGTGCATGACCACCTTGGGATGAAAAATCCCTTTTTGTTGATTTCTTCCCCCCCTNCCTTGGGATGAAAAATCCCTTTTTGTTGATTTCTTCCTCCCCCCCCCCTTTCCCTTCTTTTGCCCCTTCCACTGCCAGCTTCTAGAGCAAGCATGGGGCCCTGGGCTTGCAAGTGCCAAGCTCCTGTGAGATTTTAAGAGCAGGGACCATGCATTTTTAATTCTCCATTTTTCATCACCCTCAAAGTAACGATGAACACGGAATAAATGCTCAAGTTTTACTTCCTGATTGACATACCTGCTTAGCTCGATCGAGCGATACTCGCTGGTGTCGCCACACAGTTGCATGTATCTGTTAGCCTACCTGATAAACACATTTTCCCTCTCTTCTCTCTTCCTGCCCACAGCATGTGCGTTCCGGTACAATGGACTCTCCTTCGTCTACCTCATCTACCTCTTGCTCATCCCTCTGTTCTCAGAACCAACAAGAGCGACGATGCAAGGTAAGAGACAGTCACTGTTCTGTGCCACGTTCTGAGTGCATTTGCTGAGCTCTGTGCATCTGTCTTTATCTGACGGGATAGACACTGTGCAGCAAGCTGGTCCATTGGGGACGGGGTGTCAAACATGTGAACAGCTGCACCAAGCAGAACGTTGTGAAACATGCTGGTGGTATGTGGCACTTACACAGCCAATATCCCCATGCAAATTCCATATTAGCTCTCTCTTAGCAGGCTTGCAATACACCTGGAGTGTTTTGGCTAGTTAAGAAAAACTCAATGTATTGCCAACGAAATAAAGCAGATGGAGTGATAACATTGGAACATGATTTGCATATCAGATTGCTGGGGAGATGTGGTGGCAAGTAGAAAAGGGGCAGGGAGGTGTCTTACATATCTAAGCAGGAGGGCTGGGTAGGGTAGGAAACCGAGTCCCAGGCATGACTGTTCATACATCAGTTGAGATCTCTTACATATGCCTCTATTAAGTACTGTGAGCGAGTGATTTGTGTTTGAGGGGTAGTTTCTCAAGCGTATGACTACAAAACTTTAGATCTCTTTCCCATTGCTCTACAAGAGCCTGAAGTTATAAAACAGAATAATGACCGTATCTCCTGAGGCTCTGACTAGGAAGCATGGTCTGGTTTGTCACTCTAAATATTGGAAGTTTTTCTACAAGTATTAAAATTAAGCCACACTGAGTTAATATGATAGATTGTTCTTCAAAACAATACCATTATAAGAAATAAGGGTTGTGCCCAATGCCTTGGGTGAGTATGATGGCAATATGTTTTTACATGAGAGGAAAAAGAAGCTGTTTGGCCCAACCTGTGGTGTGGTGGGAAAAGGCCATTGGTCACGGCTGCCAGTTCATAGTGATGCCTCTTCAGGAAAGGAAGTAAGGGCTCGGGTGTCCAGAGCAGCAAATAATGACTCTGTCTTTTCCATTCCTCCCCTTAACTATTACATTTATAGTGCATATTATGATCATTCATCCTAATAGTTATGACTGCAGATGCTATGTTGATTTTCCTGCTGCAGGAAGAACCTAAATAATAGTCTTCCAAGTCACTTAAATCCTTAATACATAAAGTTAAGAAGGGGTACAGAAATGTGAGTTTATATAAATCCTCATTCAAACCAAAAATACATTGTTTATGTAACCCCACCCACCTTAACCTCTTTCCTAGAGTTAAATATAAACAAAGATATTTAAACAGAATAGCTCCTGGCCTCAGAACCAAGATGAAACATACAGGCAACTCATAGTTGATGGCTTGGAGCTCATGTTTCAAAGAAAGAAGGTTTCAGACATATTCAGAATAAACTGCTTTAAAAATGAGTACCTGTGTATAGTCAAATAAATTTTCTGTTGCTTTTATATCAAGGTGTCCCCTTATTATTTCATCTGGAAATCAGGTAACTGGGATTTCCCCCTTTGTTGTTATGTGGCGATGACTGCTTTGCCTTCTTCCTAAGTAACCAGTCTGCTCTCGGTCAGGTTGTCTCAGTCTCCTCAGGGGCGGGATTGCATCTGTGTCAGAAATGCATGGCAATGGTCCCATTATTTATACCCAAGTGCATCAGAGACTGACACTGTCAGGAAGCTCATATTTGAAATATAAAATCAAATGCAAAAAAAGCAACTCCTCTCTGTGTAAAGAAATATCCCAAATTAACAAAATGTGAGGTCAGTGCACAAGCAAAGCATAATAAGTACACAGATNTCCCAAATTAACAAAATGTGAGGTCAGTGCACAAGCAAAGTCTGCCGACGCTGCTCCTAATAGGAGACAAAGGAAAAACTGGGCTCGAAGGGAAACCCACAGGCATCTTTTCAGTTACGATCTGGACGCAGCATTGTAATTATTTATTTTCCTCTCTCCTGCATTTTTTTAAAAAAGATATCTTTATTGATTTCAGAGAGAGGAAGGGAGAGGGAGAGAGAGAGATAGAAACATCAATGATGAGAGAGTCATTGATCGGCTGCCTCCTGCACGCCCCCCACTGGGGATGGAGCCCGCAACCTGGGCATGTGCCCTGACTGGGAATCGAACCCCAATTGCCTGGACCCTAGGTCGATGCTCAACCGCTGAGCCACGTCTGGGCTCTCCTGCATTTTAATAAGAATCATGAATAATATTCAACATAACCTCATCTATTTGTTTATTTGTTTATGGAAATGCAGAAGGACTCTAGGAAAGGATATCCCACTCATTTTTTTCTGAACACGTAGGAAGCACAAGCCATGGTTTCTAACTCTGTGTTTTGAAACATCCCACACTGGGCGTTCCTGGCAGTGCGTGGTCAAGACCACCATTACAGCCTATGTGGAGAGGACACACAGTGACAGACCCAGGGGAGTGGCAGCAATGTGGCTCCTCAGGGAGATGCAGGATCAAACACACTTGGACCCTCCACTTTCATGTTTACACACATTTCTCACGAATCGATAAGAAAGCACATTGGCAAACTGAAAGAACTATTAGTAACCTCTGCACCACCTGCTCACAGACGGTCTCTGCCTTGAAACAGCAAGCAAATTCTAATTGCTTCCCAAGCTGCTCTGGCCTCTGAACATGTCCCCAGGACTATGTCATAATGCAGACTGCCCCTGAACTGCACACGTGGTACATATACATGAAAGTTACTCTGTGACCCTCTGCTTTCCATTGACCTGTTGGAAGTTTTTTCCTGTGTGGTTATTTTTTCAGTGGGGTAATTCCGTGTCGTAACAGAGAGGGTGGATCTTTGGTGTAGCTCTTGAGGTGGCCTAGGTGTGAAAGCCAAGTCTCTCCACTATGGTTTTTTTGTTTTGTTTTGTTTTTTAAAAAAATATATCTTTATTGATTTCAAAGAGAGGAAAGGATAGGGAGAGAGAGAGAAACATCAATGATGAGAGAGTCATTGATGGGCTGCCCCCTGAGCCCGCAACCTGGGCATGTGCCCCTACCGGGAATCAAACCGCGATCTCCTGGATCCTAGGCCAATGCTCAACCGCTGAGCCACGCCTGGCCGGGCTCCACTGTGGTTGTTGAGGACAGGGATGTCCACTCACTGTGACCTCAGGGCTATCAGCAGGACACAGATCATCTGAGTGTGACTGAAGCTTTCCCCATGCCTGTGATTAGACACAGATTTTCTGTAAGGCTGGAAATGACTGTCACGGAGACTGAGGAAGATCAGGAGCGGCTAGTTATACAGTGAGATGTTATCAAGCTTAAACCAGGAATTTGAGTGAGGACAATTGCTTGGTGGTTCAATACACTTAACTTCCTTGTGGGTGTCATCCGAATTGAGAACGTTGAGAGCTGGAGGAGCTTTTAGGAATTACTAAGCATATGCCAGCACCCGGCGGTGGAGTCCCGCCACAGCATCCAAGTTGGCTGGCCCAGCAGGCTCTTCTTCATATCTACTCCTGGTGCTCGGAGCACCCTGGCTCTCCGGGAAGTCTCAGGCAGTTCTTTCTTAAGTGGGCCTGAAATCCACTTCCTGGCAAACCCAAGCCATTGTTTCCAGCCCTGAGCAGTAAGGAAAGAGTTGACAGATTCTAGAAGATCACTTTACAATGATATTGTGAAGGGATTAATCAAAACATAGGGGATTTGCCTAAAGGATTTTGTAAATCTTTAATAAGTCTAGGATTTAAACACCCTCACTTTTCTATTTTAAATCTTCAAATGTCAATTTCTTCTCAAACGCTGTGTGCAGTGGGTGCTGAGGTATAGATTCAAAATCCTCTTTCACAGCGGGGGCATCATTCCCCAGCTGCCAGGAGGCCTTGTCTGGGACAGCTCGCAGCGGTGTCCCTCCCCGGGAACTGCGGGTGGCTAAAGGGAGCTCACACGCACACACACACACGGGCATACACACTCATGCATGGGGTACCTCCAATCTGCCATCGGTCAGTGTGCAGTTATTTCCCTCAGCAAGAGCCTCACCTTTGGTTTCTCACTCCGGAGTGGTGTTTCAGTGTGGCATGTGCCCTGAGCTCACAGGGTGTCTTACTGCAGCCTTTCTCACTAGGCTTGGAATTCTCTTAACAATATCCAACTCTTCCAGCTCCTCCAATATTCTCTTTCATATCCTCCGTGGGACAAGAAGCCCTAGGTTGAAACAAGTGTCCTTTGTCGTAGTACTCATTTGAGAATGAGGGAGTCTTTGCCACTGACGTGTGGTCCCTCAGCCGTGGTCCCTCACCTGCAACAGCCAGAGTCCCATGTTAATACCTTTATTTACTGTATCCCTTTCCCTTTTACTAGGTAAACTTCAAGATGGCAAGGATTTTGCTGTTTTGTTTACTGTAGTATTTCCAGGACCTAGAACAGTGCCTGGTGTATTGAAGGCACTGAGTAAATATTTATGGAATGGATTTATTTCCAGCATCAAGTGTTGTAGAAGCAATATGAACACAGCTCTAATCCTGTGCTTACCTCGACCTCTAAAGCAGCAAACATCACAGGACAATTTACTTCATATACCCGTCCTCTGGAGACAGAAGCTTGATAGGCCATGGGATTTTGCTTTTTTCAATTTGATTGGGATCAGAGGATCATGAGTAATTGAAGAAATAGAATGTTTTATGCTTTTACTTACAATGATAAGCATCTTATTTAAGCATATACAGGTTTCCCCTGCTATTCAAAATAGAGAGTTCCTGTGAAACCTTTTGTAAACTGAAATTGTGTAAAGCAAAGAAGCAATTGCCTTAGGCCACATCTTGCTAACGGATGCACAAAATAAATGAAGATAAAGCACAGATGCTCACAGACAATTCACAGCTGTGACAGCTTGATGCTGAGATGCTGAGCGTGGTTCCCGGGGAAGGAGCTTGGCGGGGCCACTTGCCCTGCTCAGGGCCCACCCTGCAAAACAAACACTGAAAACTATTTTTGCTTCTCACCTTTTTTCATAAAAGCAAAATCCTTTTCAGATTTATTTCAGTTAGTGAAAAACAGGTACTAATGTAGGTCTTTGTAAAAGTGAAGTGCTGTAAAGCGAAC